GCCCTTTACTCTCAACATCCGCGACCAGCTTTTCGGGCTTGCGAATTCCTCGTCTCGCGCTGCTTGAGTCTTCTCTTGTCGCTCTTTAAATTTTGTTTCATGAAGGGCAACCGATGCGAGATACTTCTCCACTCGCCTGCGGTACTTTCGCAGTTTCTCTTGGAGAGAGACAAGGCATCTTCATCTTTAATCTTCTCCATTCGAGACCCCGACGAATGCGATGCATCTCACGGTCGTACTCTGCGTTCGACGCCGTGTCAATAACGTCATTCGAAAGATCTTCCGTATTGACACTTAGGTGGACCTTTAAACAGTTGATTACCGTTGTCGCTTGGGGCTTGAAGCCATATATATCGGTCGGGAGCTACCAAACTTGTACGCAGCCGACAGTATATTTTCGGGGTGAAGTGCGAACACGACGGCCGTATAGAACTGGGGGCATTGAACCATTGAGGGGCCAGCCGAGTAGAGGTTTTTGCACTGCTCACACAAAACGTTGAGGCCGAACGCAAATAAGTTCGGGTCCTTGCTAATGCCATGAGCTAGACTCGAACTTGGTTCCGGCTACTTATTGCGGAGATATGGCTCTCGGTTAATTATCTTTCGCGTCTTGGGCGCCTTCTTGGCCCCGCAAACCTTGCGGTGCCATAATCTACTTGGAACCTACTTCCCGTAGGAAGCGCATTCACTCTTCATCGCGCGACGAGTCTCTGTGCCTGCTGCGTCCATTCAGATGCTTTTTCTACGACGCATGATGATTCGTTAATTTTTATTGCTTTCGTTTGATGATTTTGATTGGCTAATAAAAATGTTGTTTCGATGTTGTTTCAGGGAAAGAAGAATAAATATTAATGATGTACTCTTTTATTTTAAAATGAATATGTCACTGACTTATGTCATGAAAAGAAATAATAAGAGAACCATCGAAAATGTATAATGCTTAAGATCCGTTATTAGGGGACCATCAAAAGTGAAAGGTTAACATTCATTTTTGGAGCATCTATCAGTAACCTAACCGT